TTTGGACTAATGAGAAATTAGGGAAGAAGAAGGATTCATGAGGTTGAAGAGCACAAGAGGGTTTTGGTTGGTGCAGTGATATCAGTGCATTGGGGAGAGAAGAGGAAAAGTCTAGGAGAACCTGACAGAAAATAACATTTCAAGCATAAGCAAATGAATGGCTTTTATATATCTATAGCTATCTTTTGCAAAGAGCTTTGCTACAGGGAGCCAAAATATGGGACCAAAAGAATGGACAGGTGAGGTGTCCCCTTTCTATTGCATAATGAGCTGGTCATCATTAACCTGTCATTCATTGCTGCTGATAGGTATCTCTTTTATCTCATTGTTCTCAGTTGTTCCTGACCTAATTTAGACGAGGAAAAAGAGAGAGGAAGAGAGAGAAGAGTTTATGGTTTGAAGAAGTGATCGTGCTCATCATCCGGATCATCCCTAACCCTTCTCACTTCAGCATCATCGTGCTCTACATCCGTGGATCATATTTCGCCAATGATTGTTGCCCTAGGATTATGTGAATTGTCATTCTCCGAGATCTATTCTCATCTTTAGAATAACAATTTGGTCGTAAAAATGGATTTAAGATATTTTTAATTTGCACTTAATTGATTTTTGCATTAACAAGTAGTTTTTATTCTATGATCATTTTGATCGGGTTGTTGGCATACTCAAGCTGTGTTTAATTAATGGTTGCTAGCCTAGTGCTAGGTATTACACTAATGATAGTTTATTTAGGTTTAGATGACTAGATTAGGAAGTAATCTAGGGTGCATGTCTTCTAAACTGTTTGGATTAGTATTTGTAATTCAAGAGAACATCTATCACAGTGTGGAAGCTCCTTTTCGAGAAGGAAGAATGGAGGTGAGTTTATCCGAACCACAGTAAAATTCTATATGCTTATAATTGTGATTGTTGTTTATTTTATTTTGCAATTATTTCCAATGCATATCTCTATATTTGTTTTATTTTGTCGAAATATTTTTAAAAGCTTGCATCCAAGATCCAATATCCCCTACCTTTTCTTCTCCCATATTCCCCTCTATCTCAATAGGCCTTCAATTTCATATGGACAATGGTTAAATAGATACATGGCTAAAGATGTTAGCATTAATGGCTCAAATTATTACGCATATGTACTACTAGAGTTAGACTCGACTAAATCCAGGCCAAGATGAAGATAAGTTAAAGACTATCATTCAATTCGATGTTAATCTTCCGAGCCTTAATTATTAGTCTATAAAAGAAGTTGGGATTAACCAACTTTCCATCTTATGTTCTAACGTTCCAATGGTTAGAATTCACTAGATATTTCTTCACGTATGTGAACCACAAATATTCTTTGTAAACTAGTTTAGAATATATAACATGAATGCAAGTTGGCTTCTTAGACTTATCTTTTCTTATGTTATCTTTAGTCTCAATCCTCGACCCTAATGAAGTTAATACAAAGAGAAGTAACATAAGTACCTAATCCCTTTTTATAGATAGAGTTCAGTTCACAGGAATGAGACTTTTGCGACAGTTATGTATTTATATGAGGACTATTAATTCAATGGGGGTAGGTCACACAAAATAATTGATGGTCTTAAATGTGTCATTCTTCTCTCTCAAAACCCTAGAAGCACACCTGTTGAAGTTGATCTCTGACAAGGTGTGACAAAAAGACACACCCCCCCATCTCACCCTTCATCCTACATTCACACACGCCATTCATTCAGGCTCAATATAATTGAGGCAATTCCTCAAAAAAGAACAAATAATATAACAACTGGGGCCCAAGTGTTTAACTCTAGCTCTATATCTTTACATTTAAATAATAATTTTTTAGAAGTTAAATAAATATTAAATAATAAAGATCAAAGTATTAGTTTACAAAATTATGCTACTAATTATTTATTGAGCCGAACTTTTAATAAATCTTACTATTTCTAATTAATTTTTTTTTCCATATGAGACTGTACTAGAAAATTTTAGACAGTATTGGTTGATCAATAGACCAATATTGTTGCCAAATATGTACATCATGTGGACTAAACAAACCTTAGTCATGGTCCCGACACATTGATCTTCATACTGTCCTTCGCTTATCCTTGAGGCACAATTCTTGATAGAACTTTTCTACCACTTTGCAGGAAGGGTAATCAGATCCGAGTAAATAACCTAACTTATTTGGAGAAGCTTATTAATTAATCAAAAATTGAAGAATACCCAGCAAGTGGAAATGAAGAGAGGAGACTCTTGGATGTGGAAACAACTTTTGAAAGTTAGAAATAGAGCTGTGAATTACTGTGGTGGAGTTGGAAATTTAGAAAACTTGATCAAATCATGTTCCAGGAACTCAAAAATTAAACTGTCGGAGCTCTATCATGCACTATCCCCAGCTACAAATAAGGTACCATGGAGCACTACAATTTTGGAGAGTCTAAACCAGGTTTAGTTCCAACTTGCGGGGGAAGGGTTTCAAGGTTAGAGCTAAAAGAGTGGCTCTCTCCTCTACAGTTTACACTATTTGGATGGAACGCAACAGTAGGATTTTTCAGGGAAAGTTCTGTGAAGTTGAGCATCTTATCAAGACTATCAAAATAGATTTGATGACGATGATTCTTAATTGTACTTTGCTTGCAGATTGCAAAGAATGGATACTCTCCTTATAATCTCTGCAGGGTTTGGTTTCACTGTTGCAACTGCTGAATATTTCGAATACGCTAAATGGCATTGTTTGTATTTTTTCATAGATCACTCAGTTTCTTGAGTTCTTGATGTACATAAACTTCCATACGGTTTAATGAATAAAAAGCTTTCATTGACAAAAAAAAAGTTGAAGAATACTAACTTTTTAAAGGAGACTTAAAAGTTTTTTTAGTCAATGAAAATTAATTTTATTCATTTACCATGTAAAAACTGTAGCACATCAAAATCTCTGGCATTTAACCTGCCTGGATATCCAAACACTATCTCCCTCTATATTTACAATTTTATTCATTTACCATGTAAAAACTATAGCACATCAAAATCTCCGGCATTTAATCTACCTGGATATCCAAACACTATCTCCATCTATATTTACAATTTACATCCTCTCAAGTTTCTCTTTGAATTACAGTGTGATTTTCTCATTCAAAATTTTTGAAAAATATGGAAAACTTGATTGCACGAAAGAGAATGTCAGGTCCATGAATTTTTCCCTGAAATATCCTCAAATTCCTTTCTTGCCACACAAAGTAAACTGTAGCAGCTAGAGCCACTCTCTTAACCTTCTTCATGAATCCATTCCCCTTCAGATTATAAGCATACCAATTTAACAGACAATTTCAATTGCAAGACCTCCAAGTATATTATAGCCAATCCATCACACTGTTCCACACCTGAGCTGAATATTGGCAATCAAAGAAAAGATGATGACTAGTTTCCTTTCTTCGATGATCAGGAGGACACAGAACATAGTGGTTTACATTAAGCATCCTTATTATAATTAGCCTGTCTTGAGTTAACAATCTGGAAAGAGAAGAAATCCAGAGCACAAAAGAGTGTTTTGGGTAATTCAACCCCTACCAAACTGTGTTGCACTAGGGAACTGAGAGAGTAGAGTTATTCAACATCTTGTAGATAGAGGAGATTTGAAGTTTACAGTTAATGCAGCAGCCATTGATGATGCTTGTAAGGTTGCTTACACTTCCAAATTTGTTCAACATCATGTCCCTAGCTCTCAGGAGCTGTCTCCATATCCAGGAATTCGACAATTTGGGTTAGATTTGCCAAATATCTTACTGGTGTATATAGTTCTCATGAACCCACTTGATCCAAAACAAATCCTTTTTCATATAAATTATCCAAATTAGTTTAAGTGCAGCAGAGTAATTCCAATTCCTTGCTGAGAAGAGGCACAATCCTCCCTGTTTTTTGTCCTTGCACACATCAGTCCAAGAAACTTGGTGAATTTTGTTGCTCCATAGGAAGGCTGAGCATAAACTATCTATTTTTTCTAGCATTTTCACAGGCAAAATGAAATTACTTGTCTAGAAAGTTTGAACACCCAATATTACAGATTTGATCAATTACAATCTTCCCGCATATAAGAGATATCTCTTTTTTTCCAATGAATGAATTGATCAGAAATTCTGTTAATAAGAGATTAACAATCAATGTATGATAGCCTTTTTGACATAAGTGGTAACCCCAAATAGCGAATTGGTAAAGTCCCCTCAGGGAAATTGAGTAATGAGCAAATCTGGCTTTTCAAACTATCCTCAACACCACTGATATAAATTGAACATTTTGCAAGATTAACTTCAAGACTAGATACCCTACTGAACGCCTAAAGATAGTTATGTAACTTCATTAGAGAATAAACATCAGCTCTAGTAAGGAGGAGGAGATCATCTGCAAAAGACAAATGTGTAATCCCCAATCGATAGCATTTAGGATGAAACTTGAAGAGGTTGTCACTTTTTAGAGCACTTAGCTTCCTTGAGAGGTATTCCATCCCAATTACAAAAAAGTAAGGAGAAAGAGGATCTCCTTGTCTTAATCCCCTCTCACCTTTAAAATACCCATGTAAAGAGCTATTGAGTAACAGTGAATACTTTGGGGAGGAGATACATTC